ATTGATTAGAATCGACTATATGGATTTGGCATATGCAGGACTCGACGAGTTGTTCTTGGACTCGGCGAGTCGGGTCGCGAACCCCTAATCCTTTTCTGGTTTTGAGTGAAACCATTGAGTCTAGGAGGTGGCTTAGTGAGTTAGGCAAGATTAGGACTCGGAAGCTGAAGAACTCGATGAGTCCAAGGAGGGAATCGACGATTTAAAGTCGTTGTGTCCCGATTATATGACAGGAAGAAGTCGACGAGTTGACTCGGTTGACCACGAGTCTGAGTAGTACATGAACTCGCCGAGTTGGGAGATTACTCGACGAGTTGGGGTTGACTGGGAGTTGACCTTGACTTTGACTTTGACCAAGGGTAAAATGGTCATTTTGTTGGGTTTTGAGCACTATAACACTCCTATGGTGCACATGCAACCCTAAATGCTTTGGATCTATGTTTTCTCTAATTATACATGCATTTTTCAATTTTCCAAAGCATATATCCTAACTAGCATACAAATTGTCAAATGAACAACACAACTAGTTATATCACTTACCTCTTAGAAGGACTTGTAGTTCTTGACCTTTGAAAGCTTGAGCACCCCAAGTGTGATGGATCTAATGGTTCACAAACACCAATATGCAAGAGGAGGCTTGAGAGAATAAGTTACTTGCACAAAATCAATATCACTCTCCAAGAATGTTGTGGCAACCGATTTTGGCTCTAGGAGGTTTATTTATAGTGTGGCAAATGTTAGGGTTACACTTTGTAAACCCTAATGACCTTTCATATTACTTAGGACCCATGGGTTAACTTCCATGGAATATCCATGGATTATCTCATTGGTTTAGCCTATCCTAAATAACCATGGATCATTAGCCCACACTATTAGAATCATTGATTTACACAATCAATCCCCATATATTTAATTAGTCTCTTTTGATCACAAAATTAATTCCAAATTAATTCTTGATCAATACTAATTAAATAATATGATTTCATATTAATATATTATACTTGTAATATATCAATAAATCATAAATAACCTTATTCTCAAAAGTCCATCCTATCAAATTGCACTGATGAGGGCAACCCAAAAGGACCATGCTACAATCGGGTCAAGTACATCCCGGTTATAGTTATGGGCTTAGACACTAAATCCAACACATTTTACCCTGAGAAGGATTATTAGATTTTTGACTAAGTATTATTGTGATATTGATAGACGGGAAGTCGTTGGAGCAGCTATCAGATATTCCTCACCGTGAGATTTTGCAGACAGCCTTACGAGGTGAGTTTTCTCCTGTAGGAACGGGTCTACGACCACAATGTCAGCCCGTTTAGATGTTAGTAGTTTCAGACTACGGTCCGATGTCGGGGCGGTCCCGAGAAGAGTTTATGTATGCTTGATGTCTTTGTGATTCTTGCATGTTATGTGATATGTGTTTCGGGCTTCGGTCCGATGCTGGGGCGAGCCCGATGTATGTTAGTTTATATGTTATTAGTTATGTGTTTCGGGTTTCGGTCCGATGCCAGGGCAAGCCCGATGTATGTTAGCTTATATGTTATGTGTTATGTGTGCCGGGCTTCGGTCCGATGCGGGGGCAAGCCCGATGATGTCTTTATGCTTATGTTATGTGTTATGTTATATGATATGTTGTATGTATGCTGGGGCAAGCCCGATGTCGGACGGGGTCCGATGCCAGACGCGCTCTGATGCCGGGCGGGGCCCAATGCCGGGTAAGCCGATGTCGGGTTCGTCCCGATGTAGTTGGGCGGAGTCCCAAAGTTATGTTATATGTTATGTGTATTGTATGTGGTAGTTTGGGGAGACTCACTAAGCTTCGTGCTTACAGTTTTCAGTTTTGGTCAGGTACTTCCACTAGCAAGGGAAAGGGCTCGGGATGATCGCATGGCACACACACCACAGTTTTAGCGTGAGATGTTTAGACTCTGATATTTTTCTCATATGATTTTGATACAGTATTTGACATGGTGTTTTGAGATACATGATTCTTGATTTGCTTTATGATGATGGATGATTTATGGTTTTATTATAAGTTTTAAAACGAAATTTTTGGACTGTATTTTTTGGATGTTTCATGAGGTTTGTGAGGATATTTCAGAACCATAAACAAGAGTCACTAAGGGTCATCAAACAACCAAAACCACCTTGACCACTATCATCACCTAGGAACACGACCGTTGTCTCGTTGATATTATAGTTGTGGGTGATAACATGGAGGACGATTAACATGTACTTCCCAACACATTGAACCAAGTCCATCATTCCTATAACGGGAAGATGTAAAGATACATGATGAGATAACCAAAATCAGGTGTGACATAGTGGATGCACCATCAATAACCATCATGGGTGTTTGGATGATGTCGTAGAGGTTGACTCAGATGATTTTTAAGAATTTTGCCACTAATGACCATGAGATATGTCACAAAGTAGACACCACCTTTAGTTCTTCATCGTTGATGGTAACAAATACTTATATCTTCAACATTGATGTCTTCACACACCTCAACAAAATCTATAATTTCACACTCACAATCTGTGTCGAACCTCGTGTTACTTAGATCCATCTGTTTTTTTTCACTTTACAACTATATTGGGCTCACAGAGTTCTTATCCAAGCACGTGTCATTCTGCCTGTTAGATTAGGGACTTTTACGAAAAACCTTTAAAAAACATTCCTTATGACTAGCTCGATGAATAGGTTAGTAGTTAAAATTTTCAAGTTCAAAAGTATAAATAATTAAATTGTATTTTAGTAGCTACATTTTGTCCTTGGTTAAATATGTGTATCAAAAGTGAGTTGCAGAAATCGTGATCATGGGGCTATAACGGATAAAGAGACCATCTTAATATATATGGTGCCACTCGTGGAAAGCGATGATGGAAACGATTTTCGAATAAGGTATTGATCTATATTTTTAGAAAATGATATTATGATACTTGATATCCTCTAATATTTTTCTTATTTTCAATTACTTGTCATTTCATTGCAATAAAAAGTGTTATTCACACTAATTACAAAGTGTTATTCACACTAATTACAAGCCTAAAAAAAAGAATCAAACATTGTACATAATGTGTGTAACCCTTTATCAATTAAATATATATTTTTAGTCTAAATTAAAATTTTAGTTCAACAATAATATATTTATTAAGCACAATAGTTTTACGTAGGTGTAGCGGGTAAACGAGCAACAATTTATGCTGCAACCTCTTTTTGGATGGCAAAACTATTTTTTTTAAAAAACATTCATAGATCTTAATATGATAACATTACTATATATGACCCGTTGGACTCTATTGAGGAGCTCCAGAGCATCTGGCGCAAGGAAACCGAAAGTATTGATTTTCCATGCACGCTTTCTTATGATTTGCCACTTTGCATGAGACGGTTTTTAAAGTGGTTTGTCTTACAGTGAAAACTCCACTCTCCAAACTCACAAAAAGGGAAACCCCTAAAATATTTACATGTTTATTGAATTAAATACAATATTAGTTGGATTGCATTACACCATCTTCATAGATGAATAGATTCGGCATTTTTTTTCATATTTATACTATATATCTATTATTTTCTAAATAATATTATTTTCTTTCAGACGAAATACAAGTTTGTGTATTTAAAGAGACATGAATGATCCACTCATATCATTGATGTTGTAATATTTTGTTGTTTCATCATTTCAGCGACCAAAAGCTAAAAATCACTTGAAATTGACTTTGTTTAAATATCAACAAACTACTCGTTGATTACCATTATCGTGATAATATTGACGTTTTTCTTGCTAGGTTTGGTAATCTTCACATTGTGGATCACGCGAGAAATTAGTCATGGAGGTAGTCATATCATGTGGTTTTGTAAATTTCGCTATCTCAAAACATGTCATGTTATTAGATAACCATAAACAGTTGTATAGAGAACTTGTCAATAAAATTGTAGAATTTGAAATAGATGTAACCGTGACCTTTAGAAGACATAATAGAGGACAATAAGTGCTACAACAAAATCATAATATGAACATTTGTAATGTAAGCAATGTCAACTTTAGGTTCTATGATGACGACGATACAAAAATGAATGAACATGATATAAACATGTCTGGAAATAGGTTTTCATTAAAATTTAAATAGAGAAGGTGTTATTTGCTATGTACAAGTAGTACATATCAATGATATAATGTGACATGAACAACATTTACACTATGGGCGTGTTGTTTGGGAGCTTCTAGCTTCTAACGTCTGACAAAACGCTCCGTTTTGAACAAAAAGCCTTGTTCGGCACTACAAGCTTCTAGCGTTTAGTTTAAACAAAACGCTCCAAATCCAAATGTTACTTCATGTAACGTTTAACAAAACGCTACAAGCTACAAGCTACATGCTACCCGTTACAAGCTACCCGCTGTCAGCTAATTTTGCCGAACACGCCTATAAGTACTTGAGATTAGCCGTAATTAATATGATGTACAAAATTATAAATATGTTACTATTTTTAATACAATTTATGTTTGTATGCATTGATGAAGTCTTCCATTCTGAAGTCTTCCACTCTCGTATAAAGTACAATTTTTGTTTGTATGTATCGATGAAGTCTTCCACTCTTGTAAGAGTAACCAGCTCAGTTTCAGAACCTGACTATAACCAAAAATCAAAGAATCAAATTTAGAAATATAGTGGAATTGAGATTCCTAATCGGTTCTGGCTCGAGTTCTGTTCCAACAAATATTTTGCTCACTCTTAGTGTTTGGATCTGAACTGAACCGGATCGAAAAATTGAAAATACAAATGTATGGATATGGAAGAGCTAAAAGTGAACCGAATTATATAATCAGTTCCGTTTCATCGGGTATTTTATTCACCCCTATAAAAGATTATATAAACTATAAAATAAGAAAATTGTATAGAATAAAATGTTAGATCTCGCAATCAACCCAACTAAATTCACATAACTTTATTTAAAAAAAAAATGAGAAAATGTACACTAAATTTTCCTTTTGGATAGACTCTTATCGGATTAGAAATCAGTAAATCACTAAATCCTGCGTAAAAAGATACAACTCCCACTACAAAGTATACAAGTTATCACAAAACTCCGAAAAGAAAATCCGAAAATCAAGCTCGAAACTTATTTTCTTTTCTTTTCTTTTCCTGTGTATATCCATTTTAGGACCGACGGTGGTTAAAACTCATCGGAGCTGACATTATCCGGCGAGTCAAGAGGGAAGCAAGTGTCATCTGCGCCGTTGGTCCATAAAAAATGTGCATAAGTAGCACTATACACAGAGTTATCAGGATCTACAGAAATGGCTTCCAAAAAGGTCTCTTCAGCAGCCCATAAGTCGTTTTTTACATGCCATAAAAAGCTTGCGTATTTACGGAGTGATTCAGCGTCTTTTGGCTCAATCTCTGAAGCCCTTTTGAAATAACCTTCTGCCCTGTTTTTTCCCAAAAAAAAAAATATCAAATTTATGTTTTAAATTGATGTGATGTTACGATTTTTACCTTTTGTGATCATGAGCAAAGAGGTAAAGGAATTGAGCGTAATTTGCCAGAAGAAGGGGGTTATCGGGATCTTTTGATAAACCGATTTGGTAAAAAAGCTCTGTTTTCAAGTAATCTTCTGTATCTACTTCTCCCTCGATTTTCACAGTCACCGGCGACACGAATCTTTGCATGGTTTCATGATCAAGATCTCCATCTCCGAACACTTTCTGCATCTTATCAGCTTCAGCCACCATCGACTTCCATATCTGCCATTCCTCCATCTCCGTCTTCTGACCGGAAACCGACTCCTCACCGGTCCTGGATGGGTTTACGGTTGATGATGAAGCTCCGTCTGTAATGATTGGTTGATGTTCAATAGACTCATTGAACTTCCCGTCGCCATCTGTTCCGCTAGTGACTGGCCGGGATTTACCGCCGCCGCCGTTGATTCCGCCGATTGAGGTGGTTTTCCCACCTGGATTAACGGAAAATGTGTTGACGGTTGGAGAATCGAAGTTTGTATCGGTCCGATCTTCGATTGTGGAAACAGATTCTATGGTGGCGGGAGACGGCGGCGATGCTATGGCGACGTTATTTGACATGGAATAAACACTGTAGTTTGCCAAAAGGATCATCACGTACACCATTAGAGTGGGTGTTTGTGAGAAAACCTGTTGGAACAACCAAACGAAAGATGCATTCATTTCTTTCTGAACTCTGACCAAAATGCCCTGTAAATCTTCGAAGAACAAAACCTCTCTCATTTGCAGAGTGTAGCTTTGAAGCTCTCGAATTATGAATACCATTGAAGAGAAAGCTTTCTTCATAGAACAATACGCAGATTCTCCTGTTTCCCTAAAACCTTCTTCCCATTGTTTCTTCTTCTGTATAATTCGCAACGAAAAAGGCAACTCTACGCTGTTCGCCTTTCGTTCTATACTCGCCGGAATCATATCACCCAGCCAAGCCACCGGCAAACTAGCAAAGTGATTTTGATTATGCGGTTCTGATTCCGATACAGAATTATTTTCTGACGAATCAGTCTCGTCGTCATCAGATAACTGGAATCTGAGAGCTAATTCTTGAATCTCCCTCGAGAATTCTTCATCGGAAAACTCTGAATCTAAGTTCGCACTTACGATTCGTCTGATAGGCTGTTGTCGTGTCGATAATTTTAGGATTTCACACGACTGGGATCTGTTGAGCTTCTTCCCACACACCGACGACCGGCAAACCAATGTGGAGTCTGTTAAACTACGTCGCTTTGATGAAGGTGAAGAAATTGCGGAGGCTAGGGTTTGTGGTGAAGAAGAGGAAGACCACGAAGAGTGTGAAATTGAAGGCTGTAACCAATTAAAACAACCAGTCGCCACTTTTACTCCCATTTTCTAGAGAGAGAAACAACACTATATTCAAATTATGAATGCTTCCCGACACAAACCTGTAAAAGCAATTGAAGCAAAATCCCATCAAAAAGAGTAAATACTTGTTCATAAATGTAAATAGTAAAATAGTCTATAATCATAATGCAAATCAAAATGAAGAAATGATTACCCACAAAGAAACGCACAATTTTAGGCATTAAAACCGGATCACAAAACAAAAACCAAGGAAAATGGTATCGATTAATGGAAAGACAATAAGAAAACAACGGGTCATGAAGATTACTAACCTCCACTAACTGTTTTGTGTAGTACCGGAAGTTATGGCGTTTTTCCGGCAACGGGAACCGGAGCTCAACTCAACAAAATAAACAGAGATGTGAGGATACACCCACGAGGAAAGTTCTTCGCATTGAAATGATAATCTTTGCAAACGAAAATCAAAAATCAAATCAGACGGCGTTGATTTGAAATATTTATACATGAACAGTATGTACGTGGAGCATGAGGATTGTACACAGTAAAAGTAACGAACACGTGTCTTGTTGTGTTGGGAATCGGACCTTATTTTTACCCTTTAGTTCCTTTGAATTTTTTATTTTCATTTTAGTACACAAGTTTATATATATACCAAACACACACTAGATATCAACTTGGGGGGGCGGATTTATATCGTAGCACGGGTACCCTTCAAATTTTAATGTCAAATGTAATTTTAGTAAAAATTCATCAAAATTCATCACAAATTCGTTGTAAATCCGTCACAAATTTGTTGTCAATCCATCACAAAGCCTGATAACTTTCAATTTTGTATAAATTCGTCGTTTAAAAATGAGTTTTTTTAATAGTGCAACCACTGACTTTTCTTTGTAGATTCGTCACTGCTTTTTATCGTCCTTGTTTTGGTGTTTGTGTTTATGTTGATTGATATTCTTTTAGATCATCAATCTTTCTAGCAATAACAAATAGGTTGGTTCATTTTTTTTCATGTTATCTACTCCAATTCTCATGTATCTTTCTTGTTTCGACTCGACACACTTTTTATCCACACTAGCCTTTATCATGATATAAGTTAGGTAATACATTCTAACTTAATTTTATGAATCTAACTGACTAAAAAGTTGTTTACATTGCAAACCTTGCAAAGTTTCACGCTATAAATGATGAGAATTGTGAATTATTTTCTTTACCGACCATAAGTATCCTATGTTGGTAGCTTAGGGACGTAATAAGCAGTCATATGAAATTTAGAGGGGCGTTAGGTGTTAATAGTGTTTTGCAGGCTCACTCTTATTGCGCCACGTCTCACGACCGACCCATCACATGTTCTTTTCCTCCAATGAACCGTGAAATTTCACCAAACTATCTCCCATTCAAAGAGTTGTTGTTTGCAATAAATATATATACTTCAATATGTCAAATTCGGATTCTAAGTTCTATCTACCTCATAAGGCTTTCGTTAGATCTTAATTAGTTTAAAATGAATATATATAATGAATACGTGCCACGTTTAAAAATGTCATGCACAAAGCTATGAAGCATTAGTTATATTTCAAATGATATATGTCAAAAATCATATAAAACAATATATTTCAATCTCAACGTATTTTAAAAAATATAAATTCTCTTAAGCCAAATTTTTAAAACTCAAATTATAAATTATTATACATATTAAATCGGGTATCGGCTTATTAACAGTATCCAATATTGAGTTGTCGGCTTAGGCGGTTTAGCTGCAGCTTCGATACCAGACAGTTTGGAGTCGACGTCCTTTTGGAATCACCGTCATCATTCTTCTATCCATGTCCTACACTTGTTGTGCTTCCCACCGCCTTTTTTTGTATTAGTGTATATGTATTTTTTGTATTGTATAGTCCATTTATGTGTATTGTATTATTGTACTTACAGCCCATTGGAGCCCAAATGTATTATATATATTATGATAATTAAATAGAAGATCTTTATGGGAAAATCATCTTATTTCATGGTATCAGAACGATACGCTCCTATCTTTCCTTGATCCCATCTCCTACTTCTTCTCTAATCCTAGCTGGCACACCTTTCTTCTCTGTTTCAACAATGGTCGATGAAATATCTACACCAACAAGCAACTAGAAACCATATGGAGTACTTAACATCAAGACATATGTTCCAATCATTCTTGACCTCAATGAACTTAATTATGATGCCTGGTGGGAACTTTTTGAAACCCATTGTCGTGGATTTGGTGTACGTGATTTCCTCACTGGCGAGTCTAAACCTACATCAGAAAAAGATGAAGAATGGTTTAAACTAGATTGTGTGGTCAAGACTTGGTTGTACGGAACCCTCACTCAATCTCTTCTCAATATGATTCTCACTAAAAAGTACACCTCTCACACGGTTTGGATTAGCCTCGAGAATCTCTTACGAGATAACAAAGATGCCCGTGCCATTGAACTCGAGAACGAGTTAAGAAACATCACTCTTTGTGATCTTACCATTGCTCAGTAATGTCAACGAATCAAGACCATCTCCGATCTCTTGGCTAACATTGGGAATCTTGTTCCAGAAAAGACCCTTGTTGCTCATCTCCTTAATGGTCTATCTCCTCAATTCGAGCACATTGCAACTCTTCTTCGCCATCGGGACCCACCTCCGTTATTCCTTCAAACTCACTCTAAGTTACTAGTTGAAGAGCAACGCTTCAAGAACTCTCGCCCAGCTCAATCATCTCCCTCTGATCACGACTCCTCACCCTTTATACTTCTTGTTGGTCACAACAACAACCGACCTCAAACCACCACATATTCTCGTGGTGGTCGCCGGCCAAATAAGCAACAACGAAACAACAACAACATCGACCAGCAGCAACGTCGCCCACAGCAGCAGCCCCTGCTGCTATCGGAGGCCCATTCGCGAACATGCTGCCTTGGCAACCTCCTCCTTGGACATTTCCTAAATATTATTGGTCATATCCTAGTCCCAGTAACTCTAATCAACAGCCTACTCGCAGGACAAGAACAGGCCCTCATCAGCAGCCTAGCTTTCTCAGACCACCACCAGCTCATGCACCATCCCATGCTACAAACTCAGGACCATCTTCTCAAGCTCTCTACACTTCAGTGACCTCAACTCTCAAGCCACTGTGGCAGTGGTTCCCATCGATGTCTCAGGACCAACCAACTGATTTGGCTCAAGCATTCAAATAAATGTCAATAATGATGAGACGGATGAAAACTGATATATGGATATTAGGGATACTTCTCACCTTGCATCTGATTCGGGTAGACTCTTTTCTGTTCGTAATGATAGCAATATTAAACTCTCACCTTGTTGGCAATGGTCACTCCATTTTCGTTACCCATAGCGGTAACTCAAAACTTCATACCACCCATCGACCTTTGCACCTACATAACATTCTTGTCACACCTAACATTATTAAAAATCTTATATTTGTTCGCCGTTTTACTTCTAACAATAAAGTTTCCATTAAATTTGATCCTTTTGGTTTTTCTGTGAAGGATTTGGCAATTCATCAGGTCCTTCTTAGGTGTGACAGCACTGGAGACTTATACCTAGCTACTTCTGATCTCCAGTCATCCGTTGCTCTTACAACCTCTAGCTCGTCATTATGACATCAACGTCTCGGTCACCTTGACGCTCATGCTTTCAATAAATTAGTTTCTAGTCGTTTTCTTCCTTGTAATAAGACATCTTCAAATGTCAATTGTTCTGCTTGTCAACTTGGAAAACACATTAAGCTACCTTTTTCTAATTCCAACTCCAATGTTTCTAAATGTTTTGAGATTATTCATTATGATTTGTGGGAATCCCCTATCCCTAGTATAAGTGGCATAAAATATTACATAAGTTTTTCTTGACCACTTTTCGCATTTCTTGTGGGTGTATCCCTTACGACACAAATCTGATGTCTATAGCAAATTTCTTCATTTTCGTGCATATGTGTAAAACCAATTTAAAACCGACATACAACAATTTCAATGTGATCATGGAAGTGAATTTGACAAGAAACAGTTGCATAATCTCTTTGACAAACATGCCATAATATTTCGTTTTTCTTGTCCCCGTACATCCCAACAAAAAGGGAAATCGGAACGATTGATCTGTACCATAAACAACATCATCCGCACTCTTCTTTTCCAAGGTCATCTTCCACCCACATTTTGGGTGGAAGCTCTTCACATGGTTGCCCACATTCTCAACATAACACCCTCCTCAGCCATTCACAATGACATACCATTCTCCAAGTTGTGCCAAAAACTTCCAACCTTCACTCGTCTTCGTATGTTTGGCTGTCTTTGTTACCCCTACCTTCCTACACCTCATAAACTTGCCCCCCGGTCCATCCCATGTATATTCCTTAGTTACCCTTCTAACCATCGCGGCTATCATTGTCTTGATCTTGAAAATCGCAAAATAATCATCTTTCGCCATGTTGTATTCAAAGAAAACATCTTTCCTATTCATTCTATGACTCCCAACGATCCACCACCCTATACCTTCCTCGATGAGCCTTGGCATGTCTCCCCCATCTCTCGTGATCTCCTTATGTCAGACATTGTTCCAAACGAACCCAACTCCTCTCCATCTAATCAAACCGAGACAAATTTCACTCTTCCAACTTCTCTCGGTTCTCCCACACACGACACCTCCACTCCACCCGACCCCATCTCTCCTCACGACTCCCAACATCCTCATCATCATTATGTTGTTCCTCCCACTCCTCACCCCATGGTCGCTCGGTCTCGTGTCGGTATAACCAAACCCATTCAACGCCTCAACCTTCACACCACCACTGAATCACCCATACCTAAATCTCACTTTCAAGCTCTTCAGGACCCTAATTGGACCATTGCCAAGAAGGATGAATTTAATGCTCTTATTACTAACAAAACTTGGGTTCTTGGCACTGATATGACGTATTTACTTCTCTATGTAGATGACATTATTCTCACAACATCATCCACAACTCTATTATAGTGTATCATATCCCTTATGGCATCTGAATTTGCCATGAAGGATCTGGGTGATTTATCATATTTTATGGGTATTTCTGCTACTCGAGATGACAAATGTCTCTTTCTTTCTCAAAGACAATACCCTCTAGAGCTTCTTGACAAGGCGAATATGTCAAACTGCAACCCATGCAAAACTCCAGCTGACACACGGTCTAAAATGGACCACACGGGCTCTCCAGTTTCTGACCCTACACTTTATCGCAGTCTGGCATGTGGACTTCAGTACCTTACATTTACCCGTCCAGACTTATCCTATGTTGTGAAAAAAATATGTTTATTCATGCACGATCCGAGAGAACCACACTTTAACGCCTTAAATCGCATTCTTCGCTATGTTCATGGTACTCTCGACTATGGGCTCCAACTACATCCCTCCTTTACAGTCACTGGACACTCCACTAGTGGTTACCGATGTTACTTGGCGACAACCTCTTGTCTTGGTCCTCAAAACGTCAGCTAACTGTCTCCCGTTCTAGTGCAGAGGCGGAATACAAAGGGTGTTGCCAATGCGGAAGCCAAGACATGCTGGCCACGCAACCTCCTTCGAGAACTCCATTCTTCTCTGTCCAAATCAACCATTGTCTATTGTAACAACGTTAGTGCTGTATACTTATTGTCTAATCCAGTTCAGCATCAACGCACTAAACACATTGAGACGGATATTCACTTCGTGCGTGATAAGGTTGCCACAGGTCAAATCTGTGTGCTTCATGTCCCATGTTCTCTCCAGTACACTGACATCTTCACCAAGGGTTTGCCTACATCCCTCTTCACCGATTTTCGATCCAATTTGAGCGTTCATTCGAGACCTCCCGCTCAAATTGCGGGGGGCATATTAGTGTATATGTATTTTCTGTATTGTATATCCCATTTATGTGTATTGTATTATTGTATTTACAACTCATTGGATCCCAAATGTATTGTATATATTTTGATTATTAATAGAAGATCTTTATGGGAAATTCATCTTATTTCATTTTGTTGGTGATTTTAGTGTAGTTATTATTAATATTGAGATAGATTGAGTTCTAAGCTTTTCAATATTATGGCGAGTTTCATACATTTTCAACAAATTATTAAATAATCGAACTGATATAAAACAATAGAATAATATGAATATAAATTAGTTGATGCATAAATAATTTGATGAAAAGACTATCATCTTATGACTCGACATAAAAAATTTAACTCTAGCAAGTCTTATATTACACTCGAAATAAACGTACCAAAATAAAAAAACCGAGGTTGCCGCCGGAGTGACTTAAAACAAGAATCGGGCTGAATTTTACAAGCGGCCTCCATGGCAGCTCCTACTCTTCCGATAATCTCCCTGCCACGGCACCACCACGTCTCTCTCCCCCCTGCAACTGCTTCCATAACTGTCAATAACGACCGATACTTTTCGAACCACCCAACAATTTCACTGGTCAATCAATGTTCGAATTCGAAACAACTCAAACAGATTCACGCCCAAATGCTCCGCAACGGTCTTTTCTCCGACCCCTTTTCAGCCAGTATCCTCGTCTCCGCCTTTGCCATTTCTCCTTTGCAAGACGTTGATTATGCCCACAAACTGTTCGACCAAATTCCCAAGCCAAATATCTACACTTGGAACGCGCTAATTCGCGCTTACTCTTCCAGTCAAGTACCCATCCAAAGCCTCTCGATTTTTATCCGGATGCTCTACCGATGTGATGAAGTGTTACCTAACAAGTTCACATACCCTTTTCTGATCAAAGCAGCATCCGAGCTTTTGAATATGAGAGTAGGAGAAGTTCTTCATGGGATGGCTATCAAGACGTCCCTTGGTTCGGATGTTTTTATACTCAATTCTCTTATACATTTTTATTCTTCCTGTAAATGTCTGGATTCAGCGTATAGAGTTTTCCAGAATATTCCTGTGAGAGATGTTGTTTCCTGGAACTCCATGATTACGGGTTTTGCACAGGGTGATCGTCCTGATGAAGCTTTGAAGCTGTTTCACGAAATGCAAGGTGAGAATTTGAAACCCGATAAAGTAACAATGATGAGCGTCTTGACTGCTTCAACAAAGAAGTTAGATTTGAACACCGGAAAATGGGTTCATTCTAATATCCAAAGGTACGGAATCAAAGAAAGCTTGAATCTAAACAACGCATTGCTTGATATGTACACAAAATGCGGAAGCCTAGAAGACGCCCAGAAACTGTTCGATAAAATGCCTGAGAAAGATATCGTCTCATGGACAACCATGCTAGTTGGGTATGCAAAATCAGGCGATTACATTACAGCCAGGAAGCATTTTGACACCATGCCTAGTCAAGATATTGCTGCATGGAACGCCTTAATCTCATCTTATGAACAAAGTGGCAACCCAAAAGAAGCTTTGGCTATTTTCAATGAACTACAAGTGAGTAACAAAGCCAAACCTGATAGTGTCACCCTGGTTAGCACTCTTTCTGCTTGTGCTCAAGTGGGAGCCATGGACATGGGTGGATGGATTCATGTTTACATCAAGAAACATGGATTCAACCTCACTTCTCATCTCATAACCTCATTAATCGACATGTATGCTAAATGTGGGGATCTAAATAAAGCCCTTGAGGTTTTCAATTCAGTCGATAGTAAAGATGTTTTTGTCTGGAGTGCCATGGTTGCAGGTTTTGCAATGCATGGACGTGGAAGAGACGCGATAGAATTATTCAAGAAAATGGAAGAAAACAACGTGAACCCTAATTCTGTTACTTTCACTAATCTACTATGTGGTTGTAGCCACACGGGATTAGTTACAGAAGGGCGTGATTTCTTCAAGAAAATGGAGGATGTTTATGGGGTTGTTCCCGGGGTGAAACACTATGCTTGCATGGTGGATATGCTTGGGCGTGCGGGTTGTTTAGATGAAGCTATGGAGTTGATAAAGTCAATGCCAATGCCTCCTTTGGCTTCTGTTTATGGAGCTTTGTTAGGTGCATGTAAACTCCATGGAAATGTGGAAATTGCTGAAGAAGCTAGTAGTCGTTTGATAGAACTTGAGCCATGGAATCATGGTGTGTATGTTCTTTTGTCCAATATTTATGCCAAATTTGGAAAATGGGACAAGGTTGCTATGTTAAGAAAGAGAATGAAAGATGTTGGATTAAAGAAAGAACGCGGGTGTAGCTCGATTGAGGTGGATAATCGCGTTCATGAGTTTGTTGCAGGAGATAACACGCATCCGCAAGCTGAGATGATATATGAAAAGCTTAATGAGATTTTTGAGAAGTTGAAGTTGATTGGGTATGAGGCGAATCGATCTCAAGTTATTCAATGTGTTGAAGAAGAAGATATGCAAGAACATGCGTTACATCTTCATAGTGAGAAGCTAGCAATTGCTTTTGGGTTAATTAGTTTGAAAAAAAGTCAACCGATTCATGTTATGAAGAATCTTCGTGTTTGTGGAGACTGTCATAACGTTGCGAAGATGATTTCAAAGGTTTATGATAAAGAGATTTTGTTGCGAGATCGGTATAGGTTCCATCATTTTAAAGAAGGCAAATGTTCATGTAAAGACTATTGGTAAATTATTTAGGGTTTAGGGTTTGTTTCAAATAACATAATAATGTACTTTTTCATATTTGTTTAATCACCAAGTACATCATCACTATTAAGCTCACTAACTTCCACCATTAGTCATTGTACTTTCAAAAAGTGTCCACAAAATATATTTTTATAGGTCTAAACCGAAAAATGTAAAATTATGTACGTCTAAAAGACTAACTTTGTAAACTTATCTAAAGAGTAGAACATGCATTAGGAACAAGAGGCAATTTCTCTATATACATGAACAACCTCTTCGAGTTCTCTTTTAATATTATAGCTAGATCAACTGCATCACTTGCTTCAACACATATCCATAGATCGGCTAGCTTCAATCCTTTTAGGGTTTCCCTACAAAAGGGACATGATCGTGATCGCCCATGCCTAGAAAACAAAAAGAAAAGTCAAACTATTAGCTTTATCTCCATATTTAGGGTTTTCTTCAAGATACTAGCAGACAAATTTGTAAAAAGTTAGGACTTAACAGAAAAACCTAATTTCTCTAACTTTCTCGGTTAAAACGGATCAAGTAAAAAAGAAACAATATTGTTAGCGCATAGTGGGGCCCACAAAAGAGATGAAGGTTACCAATCCCGATAGCATTTGAAGCATAGTGAATGGGTGCAATTAGGCAACACGACTTTGGTCTTTGTTTCCATGCAAATCCCGCATTCGGATTCTCTTTCGATATCATCGTCAGAGAGTTTTCCCTTTTCCAAACCTTCTTTTCGTGTGTATTTCTTCAAGCATATCTCCTTGTTTTTCCTCTCTTCCAAATCCATAATCCCACTTTGTAGTTGCATTATTGATGGAAATATAACACCTGTTTACATAAACTCATAGGATTTATAAGACCAAATCAACTTTGAATCCCACCATTTTTCAGAAATCTCACCATAAAATTGTCTAATGCTTGCTTTTCTTTCATGAACATCCATAGAAGTTTTTCCATCAGCATATAACTGTTTCATTAAGCAAATAATGAACCTAATGTTCTTATCTAGTATCTACCATATAGAAACACGATAATTTCTTGAGAAAGTTACCTGATAAACAAAAACACGAAGCAAACCAAGGGCTCCTGCGATTTTACAATCTGCCCATGGGAAAAGATAGGAGAACAAGTCTACAGCTGGACTGAAATAGATTCTCATTTGAAGGCATGCTCCATTATCATCCTTAGGGGAATTTAATGCTCTGGATAACAATGGTAGAATTCATTCAGTAAATCAATCATTCTCCTAAAAATATTACTTAACTGATCTTAGATGAAGCCTAACATCACAAAAATCATCGTCGTTCCTCATGTAATTCTATAGAATCAATGATATCGCAAACAACTAAACATCAAAACGGCATTTTCCAAATTAATGTGTTCAGAAACTTTGATCGATTCCAAAAATTACCGATCGAAATAAAAGTAAAACAGTCTGAACTGTTAATAGATAGCTTCAAATCATGTTTGCGAATGTAATACAGGCGAAGATGATTAGAGATACTTACAGAGTATTGGCATGCTGAATATCAGCTTCGAGAGCTTTAAGCGAATCCTTATAATTCTTCCCCATTACGATAGCTTAACAGTCGCAATTGAGAAAAGCAAGGAGATCGTTTAACAGTGCTCAAAAGCAGTTTTCTATGAATATCGAAAGGGATCCCAAATCGCTGATTTTCGGTGAATCGACTTTTTCCTCGAAAAAAGATATTGGTATTGACTATTGCCACTCCGAGTAACGATTACACGAAGAACTGTACACTTCCTTCAATTTTGGTTTTTTCGTTTTAAATTTTAATGTAAAAATTTGTTTATTATAATCGATAACTTTGACATCAAGAAAAAATAGAGATATTCACCGGCGTAACCAAATCTATTAAATATATATTACATGTTAATAAAAGGTTGAAGGTTCAAATAATAACACAACGTAAAAACAGATATGATATACTTTATGATCAAAATATTTAAATGTTATTGAGATATCTTCTATAATTAATAAAAATTGGTTTACTTATTAATTAGGGGGAAAGAGTAAAAATGAAAAGAGATCATTATGAAAAATGGTTGTTATCGGAGATAATAGTTAGTCAATTGATTATTTCGTTGATTTTTAGAGATAATTATTTATTGGGAAATTAAGTAATCTAACCTATATAAATGAGTTTTTCAAAAGAAAATAGAAAAATTAAGTAATTTAACCACTTTTTAATGTGTATTCGAAAAAAAAATAGTAAAAATAATCATTTTTACTATTTTTTAATTGATTCTGAAAAGACATTCCGAATTCAAGACCAACATTCCGGATTTCGGGCTAAAATTTCGGATTTAAAAAAAAAAACACTCTGGAATTTCAAAAACAAGTACAAAATCTGAAAAACAATTCCAGAATTTTGAAAAAAAAAATCATTTTTTACTTAAATATTACAAAAAATTTAATAAACATAGTAATGTAAACTATATATGATATTAGTATATAAAATTAGATATTTTATTGAAAAACATTGATATTAAACATTTTGAAATATAGCATTTGACATTAAAAAAAAAGATTTCTTTGAAAATTAAAATAAAAAATAAAAAATACTCCGGAATATGAACAATACTTCGAAATGAGCGCATTCCGGAGATAGTGGTTATCTTTTAAAAACTCAAAAAAATGGGTTTTTTTTTTAAAACCTCATTTATAAAGGTTAGACTACTTAATTTTCCAAGAAAATACATTTCTTTTTGTTTTTAAAAAAATAACTAAATTTTTTCGGAACGCCTCATTTCAGACTACTGTTTATATTCCGAAGTTCTTCCGAAATGACTATTTCAGGTTGTCTAAATGAACACTTATTCCCGAATGTTCCATTCAGGATTTGATCTTCAAATTTCAGAGTTATTTTTTGGTATTTTTCCATTTTTTTTTAAGAAATATCCCTATTTTATGTCCGAAATGTCTATTTCGAAGTGTTTAATATCACCATTTTTCAATAAAATGTATGATTTTATGCACTAATATTATATAGTTCGCATTTAATATGTTTGTTTAACTTGTTGTTAGATTTAAGTAAAAACGATTTTTTTTCTTCTCGAAATTCCATAATTGTTCATCGAACTTCAGACTTGTTCTTGAAATTTTGAAGTTTTTTTGTTCTAGAATGCGAAATTTTAGTCCAGAATCTGGAATGTCAGTCTGAAATGTATTTTTTTGTCAAAAAAAAATTGTTTTTTTCTTGTTCCGGAATGCTCATTCCAGACCAAATAGTTAATTTTGCTAAAAACAAATTTTTTAGGTTATATATTTCAAATAAACATTAAATCGTGGTTAGATTACATAATTTTTCTTACTTATTTTATATTTTTTTTAATTAAACATGCATTAATTAATGTAGATTCTTATAATTCAAAATTTGAAAAATACAAATTTTCTAAGTTTCGAAATATAACATATATTTTATATTTGTCTACAATAAATATGTTGTTATTATATCATATGGAATACATTATACATGTTATTAATTTATAATAGGCTTATGAATAGTGTCTGATATTGCCGAGTCAATACCAACAGTGTCTGGTATTTAGTCGACTCAATACTAAGTGGTTTGAAGCCAGGGTGGTTTTATCGGCTTCTTAGCTTCACTGCTACATGTTATTCTCCTATTTTGAAGTTGGGTATTTTTCGATCGAGACATTCACCTGGTAAACTACCTGCCCACCGCCTCTCTTAGTCAATATATGTCTTACATTGGAGTCATCCTTCAATCTGATTATCGGCACCAAATGGTTTCCTTTCACACAAACAAACCTCAATTTCGCGTATTCTGCATTTGCCACACATCGACGTCGACACTATTAGAGAAGAAGATTGTCAATCGTTCGCACCAATCACTTGGTCTTTTACTGTAACATCTGACCTTTTAACACAAGGTAGACCCAAAAAATTTCACTTATTATTTCTAAAACACATTGGTTTACACTTACATTAATAATCTATCACATGTAGTTATCAACATGATCAGTTCACGGAAATAAAATATAATGATCTGAGCCGGTTATGACTCTCTTTCTTCTACGATCCTTACTTCTTAAATAAAGTTGCCTACAAAAAACACATGTCAACAAAAGAATAAGGTACAAATAACTTATTGAGTAACTCTTAACAATGATACACATAATAATTCTGGCATAAAAAATACACCATTCATTGGTGTATAGTTTCTCGAAACCCGCTTACCTATTAAAGTTTTGCATTTACTCATTACTCAACTCATCATACTCTTTTTCTACACTCACTCTCTTTCTCTCTCATTCTCTATCTCTCTATACTCATTCTCTTTCTTTCTCTCTACTCTCTTATACTAATTCCTTTTATCATTTTCTCTTTATACTCTTCTATACTTATTCTCCTTCTTTCTCTCTACTCTTTCTCTCTCTCATTATATATATATATATATATATATATATATATATATATATATATATATATGAGGAAGGTTCAAATGTTTCTCACATCTATTGTGTGCTAGAATGCACCAATAAGAATTTAATATTAATTATATGTATATTAAATGCTATCCATACTTATAATTCATTTTTATGAAACTAATTAAATTCTTAATTAATGTCAACAATAATATTCTTTCAGAATTAATTCATATCTAGAAGATTGAAAGTGTCTTCCAGCAGAATGAGAGTGTATTCTAGTAGAATACACTCTCGTTCTTTATATTCTATTCAACTTTATTGTATTTTAAATGAGTGAATCCTGAAACAAAATACGAACTCATATATAAAAACCTAGATGCGAATTTATTCTGAAAGAATGTTATTGCTGACATTAATGATGGATTTAATTAGTTTCCATAAAAAGAGAATTATAATTATGGATATCATTTAATATACATATAATTATGGAAATCATTTAATATCTATATTTATTTAATTAAATAATTATTTAATTTACTAAATTCTTATTGGTGCATTCTAACACACAATAAATATAAGAAACAAAATAACCTAGCCCATATATATATATATATATATATATATATATATATATATACACACACACACACACATATTTTATCTCTCCTTATCTTTATAATCACATTCTATCTTTTTCTGTCTTTATATTTCTCTTCTCCATCACTCCCTCTCCCTCCATCTCCTTTTCTTTCCCTCTCTTTCAATATGTTTACCTCACTATATATATATATATATATATATATATATATATATATATATATATATATACTAGACGAATTCTCGCGTGTTGCGCGACGCAGGTTAAAAATATATTGTTAGAATATAGTTTTCAGACACCTTTTAGTTAATTCGATTCATCAATTTAGGTTGTTTTATTATTATTATATTTAATGCTTTCCTTTTAACTATGTTAAAAAATATATATTGAATTTTTTTAAACATTATTTGATATTTTACTTTAGGTTTTAAATTTTACACTAAATTTTCAAGCTTATTTGATATATTAATGTAGGTTATTTATTTAACTATATATTGAAGTTAACAAATTAAGTATATCATATTGATAAGTTACAAATTCTTCCATTTATGATAATGTTTACAACTAAAAGCATATTTAAGTTAATAAATTAAGCATATTGTATGAAAATATGAAAAGTTTGGGAGTTTCAAATGAATGTGGTGAAAGAAAAAATGTTTCCTTTATAATATAGTATGATGATATGATGATTATAGTTTTAATTTTTAAGTCATTGTGATATATACAATTATTTGATAATTTTATAAACCGTTTAAAACTGTGTAAATTATATATCAAACGTATGATAATCTATATATAACGGGTAACAAAATGTATGAACAAAAATATGAACTACAACTTTTAGTAACATAAAAATACAAAAACATCTATTATAACATTTGTATTAAAAAAGATATATATACAACGAATAATAAAAAATATGAAAAATAAACACTACAACTTTTAATAACATAAAAACACTAAAACATTTATTATAACATTTATATTAACTTTTCATATTTAAATCACAAATCTCTTCAAATACATTAATGTTTTTAATGAGCAAAACATTACAACCTTATAAAAGAAAGGAAAATAAAAAGTTATTAGTGATTACTAATTAATAATCATAAGTTAAAACCTCTTGAGTTGTAACTAATAAATATACATAAATTAGAAAACTCTTGAGTTGTAGCGTGAGTTTCAAACGAATACGGTACTTGGAAATGCGTATTTATTATTTTTATTATTATTATTATTATTATTATTATTATTATTATTATTATTATTATTATTATATTCATCTAAATAATTGGTTTTGATGCATCATTTTAATCCCTTTAATTATTAAACATAAAGATATTTAATTATAAATTTATAACATACATAGGTGCATATATATATGTTAAACAAATCACATATAATATATATATTTTCGTAAATGTCATATCTAATTCTTGTCGTAGTAATATGGATAAATTACTTTCATATGAAGAACATATCATGATAAGTCATCATAATTACATATCAAATGTTAAAAATTATGTTATCTTTTAAATATTGTCTTGTAAATATGTTGTGTAGGATAACCCAACAAAAAAATAATATAAAATAAACATATTCAAAATAGAAAAACTACAATCAAATAAATAAGAACATTAGGTGGTTGAATATATAAATAAAAATGTTACATAAATATACGTTTAAATCAAAACAAAAAAACTAACATTCG